TGTGTCTGTGACTGTGTGTGAGTGTGACTGTGTGTGTGTGACTGTGTGTCTGTGACTGTGTGTGTCTGTGACTGTGTGTGTGTGTTTGTGTCTGTGTCTGTGTGTGTCTGTGACTGTGTGTGTCTGTGTGTGTGCCGCGTGCACGTTCTCTAACAATCATTTTACATGGTATTCACCAAAGGTAAGAGAAGGAGAGCTTACTTTTTGCCACATACTTTTCTGAGAAGCTCAGTGGTATTAATTTGTGAGGTAGGTAGTTCTTTCTTCATTTCTACAGATCAAAAAACTGAGGTAGAACTGCCAAATAGTTTACCCAAGTTCTACCAGCTCGTAATAGTAAGCCTGTTGAAATCTAGCCAGTCTGACTCAGTGGCCTTCCTGTGTGTATACGTTGTTGCTGACCTTTGCATATGTGTGTATGTGTAAGTACACACGTGTACATGTGAAGGTTCAAAATTGATGTTGGATGTCTTCCTCAATTCTTAATTTATTGAAGCAGGTCTCTCAATTGAACCTGGAACTTGCTAGTACCTAGGAAATCCTGTCTCTGTCTTACAAGCACCTGCCCAGCTTTTACATGGGTTCTGGGGATCTGAACTCCGCTCCTCATGCCTGTGTCACAAGGGTTCTGGGGATCTGAACTCCGCTCCTCATGCCTGTGTCACAAGGGTTCTGGGGATCTGAACTCCGCTCCTCATGCCTGCATCACAAGGGTTCTGGGGATCTGAACTCCGCTCCTCATGCCTGCGTCACAAGGGTTCTGGGGATCTGAACTCCGCTCCTCATGCCTGTGTCCCAAGCACTTTTTTTTACTATGCCTCTCCCCAGCCTGCCCTGCCCCGCTAAGTGACAAGTCAGCTTTTCCAGTTTGCTGATACCCTTAGGTGTTAATATTTCTTACATATTTTCCTTCCTGTCCCTTTAAGGATTAAAAAAAAATTAAGGTTGTTCATACCACATGTAGAACCTCACTCTGACCTTCATTATCCTTAGTTTTAAGAAAATGAGATTAGAGATGAGGAAGTTAATGCATGACTCCTACCAATAGGGGCAGAGGGGCCCCACATTCCCAGAGTGTGTACCGAAGACTAATTTCAGATTGCCGATTGTCCATAGACAGGATCTCAGTCTTCACGGCAAGCAGGAGTGTTTGTAGGAGTCCAGCCTGACCACTCTGTGTTTAAGGCCTCTCAGAGGTGCCTGCGTGGAGGTAGCCCCGCTCTGTGCTGGAGAGTGGGTGGCGGTGGTGAGCTCCTCAGGAGGCTGTCTAAACCCTGTTCTGTTTTGCAGTGGACAGCCTGCTGAAGTACACTGGCTATGGGAACGCCGCAGGACTGCTGGCGGCCAGGGGCCTCTTGGCTGGAGGAAGAGGAGACAATTGGTACTCGGAGGACGAGGACACGGACACTGAAGAATACAAAAATGCAAAACCAAAGTACAGTACCACATTTCTGTTTACCTAGGGAGGGGTCGTTCAGTTAGCGCTTTGTCTCCACTCCCTGCAGCCTCCTTTTCCAGTGTTTTCTCTTGTGAAGTTGTGAGTTCTTGTCTCCTGCTGTTTTTAGAGACAGCTTCGTATAGTTAGTCCCTTGGAGTGACTTCAAGTGATTGAAGGACAGTATTTCATGAAATGTGCTGCAAGATCCTTTCAGCAAGTTCATTACCCTCTTTGAAGCCGTAAGAGTGCTGGAGCAGTTTTAGATGCTGATCATCATTTTCACAGAGCATTGTGACTGTTTGCCTTCCTTTATATGAGACTTTCTAACAGATGGCTAACATGCATGCAGACATAATACAGCACACAGCTAACACGCATGCAGACATAATACAGCACACAGCTAACACATGCAGACATAATACAGCACAGCTAACATGCATGCAGACATAATACAGCACAGGTAACACACGTGCAGACATAATACAGCACACAGCTAACACATGCAGACATAATACAGCACAGCTAACACACATGTGTTCATAATACAGCACACAGCTAACACACATGCAGACATAATACAGCACAGCTAACACACATGCAGACATAATACAGCACAGGTAACACACGTGCAGACATAATACAGCACAGGTAACACACATGCAGACATAATACAGCACACAGCTAACACACATGTGTTCATAATACAGCACACAGTTAACACATGCAGACATAATACAGCACACAGCTAACACACATGTGTTCATAATACAGCACACAGTTAACACATGCAGACATAGTACAGCACAGCTAACACACATGTGTACATAGTACAGCACACAGCTAACACACATGTGTACATAGTACAGCACACAGCTAACACACATATGTACATAATACAGCACAGGTAACATCAGGTATTGAAGTTGGTCATTGAAGGGTTCAGTCGTTCTGAGCACCCTTGCGTAAGAAACCTGTACAGGTCAGAAAGTATTGCAACAAGGCACAGAGCTGCAGACGGAAAGACGCTGGCCCTGCCCTGAAGGACAGTCAAGCACACACCTGGGAGCTGGGGCTTTAACAGTGTCTCAGAACCCTGGAGGGACAGACCTGAGACTCTTTTGGTGACCTCTCAGTCAGTGTGTGCGATGAAAGACACTCTCATTCTCTTAAGCTCCACCTTCCTCCTCCTCTCCGCCTCCCTTCTGTTCGTCCTCTCCATTCCCATCCCCAGTTTCCACTTTCTGGCAGTCATTGGAGCTGAGTTTCACTGGGTCCCATGACTGGTTGCTACTGTCAGTGATCCTGACGTGCTGTTTTCTACTGGCCTTCTTCTGGAGACTGATAGGGGTTATGAAGTAGGGAACCAAGAATAGAAAAACACAATCTGTAAAATCAAGTATGGATTGTGTTCTGTTGACAGGATAATATTCAATCACTATCAAGTGAAAAAATTACCAATCTCTAATCAGGCAGGAACAACATGACCTATTTCTTGACAAATCAGGTTTGAGTACGTGGTGTTATTTTTAAGCATCCTAATACTCTGAGCTTCAGCAGGATCTTACAGAATGTTACCTAAGAAACAAAAGCTTTGGCTGGGGGAGGAATACTAATGGCAGGTCTTAAGCAGTGAGCTTTATAGACTGCTGTCACTTAGATTGTAGCTGTGGGTTGAACATCTCTGTCAAGTATTTGAAAATAAAATGGGGGAATTGTGCTTATTCAAGTCGATATTCTGAATTAGTTTTGCAAGCTCTTGTTTTTATCATTCCATAAACTACATTTCCATGTCATTGTAGTGCTTTGTGTCTTTTCATGAGCGTTAAAGATATACTCGTTGACAAAGTCCCCTTTTCGTTGTTGGTGTGGATTTGGGGGTGGGGGCGGGTGCTCACTGTGTTACCCAGGCTGATCTCAAAGTCATAGACTCAAGTAGATCCTTACACCTTAGCTCCCCAGTAGCTCAGACTTGAAGCACACACCACCATAACCAGCTTGTCATTGTAAATGAAGATGGAGATAACACGAGCTTTTTCTCAAATTCCAGGGCATGTGGAAACAGTCAGCTAAGGAAGAAAACTCCTAAGTATTCATAGGTGGTTGGTGTCTTTGCATTTCAGTGTATGTGCTTGATTCTAATAGATGGCTTTTATCCTGGCCGTGGTAACTAGGAAGTACAGAGTGCTACCATAACAAGGAGCTCAGAGAAGGCACGGGAACATTGTGCTGCTCCCTCCCACAGTGTAGGAAATTAAGGTTCATTAGGTTGCAGAGGTGACGTTAGACCTCAGAAGGCACCTTTGTTTGAATCAATGTTGATGTCTTAGCTCTCTGCCGTGGGACGAAACCGCTTGGGCTTTGCAACCTGACGGAAATCTTTCTCAGATCTTGGACTTGACCAGAGTCGTCACCAATGTAAAATCTTGGTCTCTGAAACATTGCTCATTATAAGCATAAATCTGAGTTTTCAAGTAATCCACACCCACTTCAAATAGATTAGTGTCTGTTTGTCTTTCAAATCTCCCTCTCGGGGAAAACCTGGTGGAATCTTTAATGTTACTTCAATATATATTCTTCCAGGGGTTCCTGTGGAAGTGACAGTGAATAAAATCCGTTGTCAACAAGGCAACCCTCTGTTACTCTGGGGAATGACCCACAGAGCTTGAAGAACTTGTGTGGAAAACTTTTTACTAGTCTGACCAAACTTAGAAAGTGGGCCTCTGGAGGGATGGCTCATTTTACTGTCCCCTTTATCATTCAGTGTCCCCAGGATCCCACTGAGCTGTTCTTATGATGTGTTTATTCACAACCGTTGATGGTATTAGCAAAAGTAATCACTTTGATCCAGGTGGCCCAAGTCCCGTTGTTAGAAACGTAAATGGATCCTGATTAATGCTCTAAGGTAACCTGTAATCCTTTATGTGAATCTAAACCAAGATAGTCTGGAGCTTCTCTCCAGCTTTAGGTCGCAGTTCCTTTTACAGTGTTTAGTGAACTGAAAATGGCTGTCTGCAGGAGGTACTTTTAAACAAAGTGTACTCCTAGAATCCGGTTACAAGGACATCCAGCCGGTCAGGCTTGTTAAGTTTTCAGATATAGTCCTTTGTCAAAAGGAAACCGTCTAAACTCTTCTTCGTTTGTTTGTGTGTTTTGTTTTGTTTTAGACAGGATCTTACTTTGTAGCCCAAGATGGCCTCAGACGCACAGAGGTCCATCTGTCTCAGTCTCCCAAATAATGGAATTAAAGGCCCGTACCACCACACCCAGCTAAATTTTAATTTTATACTTCTCTCTTTTATGTCTCTGAGCATGGAGCCCCTTGATAACTGATGTGGTTTATGTCATTCTAAACGTTAGTGAAAAGATGGACGTTTAATGTGTTTGACTTACTTTCAACCTTCAGTCCATAGCTTCCAGGCTAGATGCATAGGCATCCAGAGGTGTCTTTCGGGGCTGCTTTATAGAGAGGCAGGAGGGGGGGCAGGGGCAAAAGTGGCCAGAGCCCTGCATAATTTCTGAGTCTTCACGTGAGTCTGTGGAGTGCAGAGCCTTGGAACTGCGCCCAACACTCTTGGGAGAGTTCTCCCAAGTACACTGACCTCAGATGCTGTGGCATTGTCCCCGTGGACTGTCCCTTCAGGGGACATCATCGTGGTGTGATATATTGTGTACCCTAAACTTGCCTGAGGATCAGAGGACAGAGCCAGCCACTAGATTAGACATAGAGGTCAGGCAGTGTTGGCACACACTTAATCCCAAGGAGTGATATCTGGGTAGAGAAAGGTATGTAAGGCTTGGGGAGGCAGGAACTCACTCTCTTTAGGCTGAGGATTTCGTAGAGATAACAACTAGTAGCTGGCTGTTCTGCTCTCTGATCTTCCAGTTTTCACCCTGATATCTAGCTCTGGGCTTTCATTATAATTCTCCTCTGTCAAGGTTTTGCTGTGCTGTGGGGTCTGGTATGTAATTGTCTTGTTGTTGTGTAAATTATGTGGTTTTAGTATTTCTTAAAGTGAATGAACCGCAGATCAACTTAGAGATTTTTATCTTTGCCTAATCTGGACTGTGTTTGTACAGACTAGGATTAACTAATTTAGGAACCAAGGTTTATTGGTTCTATCTGTAAGCACCCAGTGAAACACATCTAAGATCTGGTCATGAAAAGACCCTAGTTGGAAACAAAACCATTACGGTTTCTGCCACATCCACATCACCTCCACACACTTACCAGCCTTTGTAATACTTGCCTTTTCAAAATGTCTCAGTGCCCAGGCTGACGTTTAACTCGCCTTCCTCCTGCCTCAGCTTCCCAAGTGCTGAAATTATAGGCGTGTCCCACACAGCTGGCTTCAAAGAAAGCTTCATCGTCGTCATCGTCTTCTGTAGATAAACCTATCACTGTATAGCCTCGGCTGTCCTCCTGCCCAGCCTTGAGCGTGCTTGAGAGGACTGGGCCGGTTTATCGCCAGAACTTTTCCTCTTGCCCAGTAAACTTGCTTACTTTCCTGTGGCCTCTCCTAGCCTCTTCCCATGTGTGTATCAAGAAACCTCATACCCGTGAAATCATATATAATAGTGTCCTTTGATGACATAGTCAGTCATCAGGCTTCGCCCATATCGTAGTATGTATCAAAATGTCTTCCCACATGAAGACTGGATGCTTCTCCATTTCACTGTATAAACATGGTGTTTACCCACTGGCTATCAAGGGACACTTGAAATGCTTCCATCTTTTTTCTCTTGTGAATAATACTACTGAACATGAGTAGCCTGGCATCTCTTCAAGTCCCTGCTGTCCTTTTTCCTGAGTGGTGTCACCTGTGGTTACATGTTCAGTTTTCTGAAGAACTGCATATTGTTTACACCTCAGCTGCACCGTTTTATATTCCTATTGAAGCCACAGGGTTCAATATGTGCCCTATGAACATAGTATATGTTGTTCTATACTATATGCTCAGAGCATGGGTTGTTTTCCAGGGGGTGCATGTTTATGTTTT